AAATTGAAAGCCTCTTATATTTACAATAAGAACATATTTTTCGAGTATGCATAACGCACGAACTACTGCCATTTACTAATTCACATTGTAAATAAACTATAGTAAATGCCCGAATTTTTGTTTACGTCAAAATTTTTCTCTGCCTTTTTTTTCTATAATATTAAAAGGAAATATAAGTGAGAGAAATTAGGACATTTAGAGTCACCAAGAATTTTGACCAGAATTTTCTTCTCTGAAATAAACTTGCATATATAAGTGTTTACCTGAGGCTATTCAAGTGAAGAGCATTGTACATTTTGAGGACAGAATTCACATAATGGTCTGTTTTAATGCAATGAATAATAAGGATTGCCTCGAGTACAAGTTTAATTTAGTTTTGTTGTTTGTAATAGACTGTCCTTTCTGTTAACTGTCCAATGACTTATAAACGAGAATGTACATCCTCTCTTCTATGGTAACCAAGTTTCTAGCCAAGTATGAATGCAATAACGGCGGGGCCCTGGATCCTTTAAGCGAAAGGGCGGTAAATTGGTTGTCACTGACCAGTGCGAACAAGGACCACGCGCTTCGTTTAACCCTTTCGTTACGGAGAGAGAGAGCAGATTTACGACAAGCTAAATTGGACCGTAAAACCGTTCCTCTCAGGATTAAGAAAATAGAATGAAGACACGATTACACTTTGTTAAAATGACAAACTAATTAAATGTCGTAGTTTTCAATATGTCGAGTTACGAATTTCTTTACAACCAGGAACTCTATTACTTTATTTACTTTACATTAAGTTAAATCAATCAATTTCGTTATCTTAGAGTATCTATATACTTTACTTCCTTTTTTCAGTTTATTTTGTCCCAAGTTTTTATTATCTGCTTTATTTTTAAGTTCATGTTTGTATCATCTATTGTTAGTAGTTTAAGTTCATCACATTTTACTTGTTTTCCTTTATATATATATCCTAAGGGGTTTATGCTCGTTAATAAAGTAATATTAATAATAATATTCACAATAAGAGAAGAAAGAAAATTAGTGTTTAGTTCATAATTTGTCGTGATACCGGTGTCAATAGCCAAAGAACGATACCGTCGAAAGTTACACGATCGCAACTTCAGGAAACAACGAAGCAACTTTTACCCTTCCGTTAAACGAATTCTCCTACGTCGCACAGGCAGCTCAACGCACGCTCCATTCTAAGTCTAGCACATTCCATTCCCCCAAAACAATCTGGTATCCTGTCATCTCGCAGCGGAGTTCGTCTGGAAACTGCGTCGCTCGAAACCACCTGCCATTCGCGGTAAAAGACAATCCTCTCGCTCGGTAAAGCCATCCTCGCCGAGACATCCGCAACCAGGAAGCGAATGGCTTCATAATCCCCGGTACCCAGGTGCCAAATCGCGAAATGAGACCTGAAACTTGTCAGTCGGAGGGGAGGGGGGAGCGAATGCAGACTTTCCACGGAAATCGTTACGTACCGCCGATAAGGGAGTCGATTTCGGGTGCTCTCTAATCGCCGGGGACGAACCGAACGATCCCCGGGACAAAAGTCAACGGGAAACGACGTCGATGAGAACCGTGGCGTGGGTGGGTTCGATTCCGAACGCTGATAGCATCGGGACGTGTGTCCCAGCGAAGCTGTTTGCGATAAATGCGGGCCAATTTGAATAGGGAACTGCGATTTCTCAATACGTCTGCAGGGCATTCTGACCCATTAAGTGGTTTTTGTTGAGTCGTGGGTGGCTTTAGAATGAATTTAATATAGTAGAAATCAATTCTTATTAGCTAACCGAATTTCTGGCTTATGGTTGAGTCACTAGAAATGAAATATTCATTGATGTATTATTTGGTTTACTATAATTGTTTCAATAATTTTTAAAACTGAACATTTTTCAAGTTGTACCAAAGGGTTTAAGTTCTTCTCAGTACGAGGATTCATTTACTGAATGTTGTGCAAAGAAGATTTCGCAAAAATAGAAATTTCCTCATAATTTCTTTGAATTTCTATTTTTCTCACGTTCCCTTCATACAATATTTAGTAAGCTAGCCCACTTAATTACTCAGAAAGCTCGGGCCATTTCGTGCAATTTCAAAACAGTTTGAATAACTGAAAATTCAGTCTTAAAGTATGTTGGTATAGTTTTGCTCTTCACTATATGTCTACTATCGACTTCTTTTTATACATGCATTTCTCCATTCAAAACCTGCTTTAATAGATCTAATTTGATTGAATCTTAAGATTTTATTTTATTGAAGTGTAAGAATGAACTAATTCAAAATATTAATTATAATAATCGTACAAAACTTTTGGTGAAGGTCATCGACTAATGGAATGTTTTAAACAATTTTGCCACGTGTTTCATACACTTATGTTAGATTGAAAATTCTCGTAGCGTATGTATAGTGCTTTTTCTCGTATAATTTCCAACTC